TGTGTTTATAAATTCTAGTGTGTTTTAGTAGTGCTTATGACTCCATACGACCAGTTTGGGGAAATGTATATCTATTGGCTGCTTGCGTCTATGTATGTCATTTAATAGTTTATGATAAATGATTAAATAGTTCAATTCTATTATTTAACCAGGATGTGTTAGGCTTACCTAGTCTTAGAGACTAGGCACCATCACGACATCCTAAGGTGGGAAATTGGGGCCATGAAAATAGTGAGCACTATGACTTGTGTGTGTGGTCAAGTTCGATTTTCGGATGATTCGGGATTGATTTAGAAGAATAATTGTTATTTTAGAAGCTTAAGTGAAAAGAGTTGACCAGAGTTTGACTTTTGTGTAGAAGACTCCGAAATGGTGTTTTGATGATTCCAATAGGTCCATATGGTGATTTTGGATTTAGGCGTGTGCCCGGAATTGGATTTGAAGGTCTGTAGGTTGATTTGATGCATTTTGGCAAAAATTGGAAAGTTGAAGGTTTGGAAAGTTGAGAGGGTTGCTCGGGAGTTAACTTTGTTGATATTAGGTTCGAATTTTGATTTTGGGAGTTATTATAGATCCGTTGTATCATTTGTAATTTGCATGCAAAATTTGACATCATTTCGGATTGATTTGATATGATTCGGCGCGAGTTGTAGAAATTGAAAGTTCATAAGTTCATTAAGTTTGATTTGAGGTGAGATTGATAGATTTGATGTTGTTTGATGTGATTAGAGGCCTCGAGCAGGTCCACGTTATGTTTTGGAGCTAGTTGGTATGATTGGATGGGTTTCCGGAGCCTCGGGTCTATTTCGGATGGGCTACGGGCCATTTCTTCATGCTTTAGAGTTGCTGGATTCTGGTGTGATTAGAGGCCTCAAGCAGGTCCACCATTTCTTCGTGAAGTGATTCTGGGAGCCCAACATTTTTGTTCAGTGCGGTCGCAACTATGTGCACGCAATCGCGAAGGTCCAGCTCGCTGTGGTCTGCGTTCGCGTGGGTTAAACCGCGTTCGCGAAGTGTAATGCAGATGTGTGAGTCGCGTTCGCGATAGTGATTATGTATTCGCGAAGGGATTTTTGGCATCTTGTATTTTTTTGTGCATCGTGATCGCGAAACAAGTTCCACGATTGCGTAAGAGAAATACATGGGCAGAATATAAGAACTCTATTCCGAGGGCTTTTAATATTTTATCACTTTTTAAGTTAGAGAGCTCGGATTTGAGGGATTTTGGAGGGGATTTTCATGTGCTAGATTGGGGTAAGTTTTCTTTATCCGGATTTGATTATATTTCATGATTCCGACTTTTGTTTTTAACATTAAATTAGTGATTTGAGTGGGAGAAAATGAGAATTTTTGGCATGAACTTTCAAAAAATGTAAAATAAGGATTTGTAGGCCTACTTGAAATCGGAATTGGATAATTTTGGTATTATTGGACTCGTATCGGAATGGATGTTCGGATTTTGTGAATTTTGTCGGGTTCCGAGGTGGGCTTGGGGTTGATATTTTAGTTTTCATTAAAGATGGAAGCTTTATTATCCGAAATTATCTCCTATGGGTTTTATTTATGATAGTAAGTTATTTTATCTAGATTTGAGCCATCCGGAGGTTGTTTCACATAAGAAGGTCATTTTAGAGTATTAGTTTAGCTTTTTTGAGGTAAGTATCTTGCCTAACTTTGTGTGGGGAAACTACCCCTTAAGATTTGAGTCGTTTGTGCTATTTTTGTCATGTGAAGGCCGTGTATGCAAGGTGCCGAGTAGTACTCGGGCTTATATGTGGAAATTGACCGGTTTAGACTTAGGCTTCTTTCATGTACTTATTTGGAATTGTCATGTTATATCTCTTATTCCTCATGTCTACTATCACATGCTTTATTTGAAGTTGTTATCACTTTTATCCTTATGTGATTTCTTTTTCTTGTGGAGTTACTCTTAGTTGAAATTGTTGTTACATGATATCTTTTTGTTGTCGGGTTGTTCTCATGCATTTAGACGTAGTACTAGTTCTTTCCATCTCTTTCATGTTAGCCTATTCATACACTAGAATCCGAAATTTGTCATTTCATAGAAATACTTTCACTATTGAGTTTATCCTTAAACAATTAATTGAAATTCAGGTTATCGAAAGTCATTAATCTATTTTAATTGAAGTTATGTTTAAAGGGGGTATTGTTACTTGTTGAGTTACTTTCCCGTTTATTTTGTTGTTATTAAGATTCTATGCACATTGTGTTGAGTCGTGGGCTATTTGTTGTAGAAATATTGATATTGTTGGATCTTTGGAAAGGTTGTGACCTATGGGCACTTGTGATACGAGTTGATATGTCGTGTTGTTGTGATGTTAGGACATGTGAATGGTTGTGTGGTTTGGTTGTTGTTATGCACAGTATAAAGGAGACATTTCACCGTTGCTGTTATGCTGGGCATAAGGATGGCATCTCACTGTTGTTGAATGTACAGAGTGATGCAGGTGGCTATTGTTTTATTGTGCAGGCAGAGAGATAAGGATGGCTATTATTCGGAGTGATACGGGTGGCTATCAGAGTGATATGGTGGCTAATGACTAATGTCAGGACGGAGTGATATGAGTAGCTATCGGAGAGATAAGGGTGGCAATGTCAGGGATGATGTGATATGGCTTGGGGACATTTTGTTGGTGATATTCATGTGATGGTGTGTTTTTCCTTGTGTATGTGATACACCTTATGTGATTTGTTGTGTTGCTTCGATGAGCTACTCGATGTCTTGATATTACTTGTTAACTTGGGCTACAGTAGTACACTCGCACAAGCATACACTATAGCATGCCACCTATACTAGCTCAGGAGTAGGAAACTTGACATTTATTGATTATGCCCATGTGTTCTTGTATTATTTGTTTTCACGTTGATATTGAGCCTGTGACAATACCGGGCGGATTGTGATTTGTGAGCCTGTGACCACGCCCGGCGGATTGTGATTATAAACCTGTGACCATGTCGGGCGGATTGTGAATGTGAACATGTGATTATGCCGGGCGGATTGAGATATTGGCAAGTGAGTTATCCGTGCGGTCGTGATTTGAAATGTCGGCACAAGGTGTCATGAGCATAGGATGGTGGTTTGATACCCCTGACTTGTGACTATGAGATGAGTTATTACAGAGTGATTTCGTTATGAAACTTTTGTTAGAATGGCTTGATTAATTTTTTGTCCTTTATGTTCCTTATTTGGTTTCAACGGTACTTCACGATGTTCTTATTGCTTTAGTGTTTATATCACTTGTTGATTCTTGTTTCCATTTACTGATTTCTTCTTTCCATTATTAGCTTTATACTTCTATACTTCACAAGTTATTTTGTCTAGTGAGTGTCTTGCTTGTACATTGTCACTACTCCACCGAGGTTAGTCTTGATACTTACTGGGTACCAACCGTGGTGTACTCATACTACACTTCTCCATATTTTTGTGCAGAGACATCTATTGGAGATATCGGACTCGGACATAGTTAGCATATTGGTTGTGAGGATTCAAGGTAGAGCTGCTTGGCCGTCGTAGTCCCTTGGAGTTCTTTCCTTTCACTGTACTGTCAACTTGTTATTTTAACAATCTTGTATTTTGTTCTTTGAGATCTTTCCATGTACTTAGCTAGAGTTTGTGACCCTTTATTGCCAGTCTTGGGAGGTTATTATGATTATTGTAGTAGGCTCATTTTGCCCTTGTTTCGGTATTCATATTAAACTCTATTTCAAATTATCATTGTTAAAAATTAGCTTAATTGTTATAGTAATCGGCTTACCTAGTCTTAGAGACTAGGTGCAATCACGACATCCTACAGAAAGAGTTTGGGGTCGTGACATTTAGACAGTGATGTAGTAGACATTTTGGCTTACTCTATAGAGCTTATGACTTAGTACCACCGGTCTTGGGGAGTGTATTGTTGAGATTCTTATTTAGGAGTTTATATCAGTTTATCAGACTTGTTTTACTATTTTGTTGATTATTTCGGTCAAGTTATTATCAAATGTTAGGCTTACATAGTCGTAGAGACTAGATACACTGACGATATCCTACAAATTGGGGCCGTGACAGTAAGTGTGATTCGTACACTCTTTTGAAGGAAACAAAATTTAACAACTTAAGAGAAATTCTATTCGGTTTGAGCCTCGATTCTTTGTTGTGAGGTTTCCGTGGGTGTTTAGAGGCATTGGAAAAGTTTGGATATTGTATTTTTACTTATTAGTATGATTTGATGGGGTCCCTAGGGGCTTAGGTGTGTTTAAGATCACTGGTTGAGAGACTAGTTAAGTTAAGGATTTGGAGTTTGACCATAGTCAATATCGAGTCAAGACGATCTCTATTTGGTATTTTGAGTGCGCAAGCAGGTTCGTAGCGTTTTTACGATTAAAATGCATACGTGGTTTGTATCCAGAAGGTTCCGAATGAGTTTTGGGCGCTAAAACAAGTTTTCTTTATTTGCTGATTTTTTAGTGTAAATAATTACAAAAATACCAGTTATGTCCCTGAAATTTTCAGACTTCATTTAAAAATTCAAAATATCATATCTCCCTCATTTTAAGGCCAAATTGGGTGATTCAAAAGGCTATCATGAGTGTAATCTCGCAAGTATCATGTTGGGCTTATAGAATGTGAGTTTCAAGATCATCTAGCATTTGAGATTATCGGCATACTTAACTTGGCCATAGAAATTCATATATTATAAACACACATTTGTACATGTCATTTCATGTTACTTGAGGTTCTTTATTCATAAAGAGACTATTATTGGGGCCTTAGGGGAATGTTTTGCACGATAGGTATTTCCACACGATTGATATCATGTTCGCACGGTGGGTATTTCTGTGCGGTTTGAAATAAGATTGGCACGTGGGCTATTTCTGTGCGAAGAGGATGGAAGTTGGACCTTACGTTATGCTTACTCGTTCCTTAGACACATACATGTAATAGCCCTTTCCTATTTGCCCTGGAAATCAATGCACCGACGTGCCATATTCAGGGGGAAATGACGTGGTGCATGTTAATTATAGACGACATTGTGATGATTTGTGAGATATGCGGCGGTGTTAAGAGGAGGTTAAAGGTTTGGAGGCAGACCCTAGAGTCTAAAGATTTCAAGTTGAGTAGGACCCAAATGGAGTACTTGGAATGCAAGTTCAGTGGTACGACTCTGGTGGTGGACGAAGACGTGAGGCTAGATTCACAAGTCATCCCTAAGAGAGAGAGTTTCAAGTATATTGGTTTCGTTATTCAAGGGAATAGGGAGATTTATGAGGTTGTCACACATCGCATTGGGGCGGGATGGATGAAATGGAGGTTTACTTCTGGTGTCTTATGTGATAAGAATGTGCCACCAAGACTTAAAGGGAAGTTCTATAAAGCGGTGGTCAGACTCACTATGTTGTATAGGGTGGAGTGCTGGCCAGCCAAGAACTCTTATATCCAGAAGATGAAGGTTGCTGAGATGAGAATGCAAAGATGGATGTGTGGGAATACTAGGCTAGACATGGTTAGAAATAAAGTTATCCGGGACAAGGTGGTTGTGGCTTCTGTGGAGGACAAGATGTGGGACGCAAGACTAAGATGGTTCGGACATGTGAAGAGGAGAGGCACAGATGAACTAGAGAGAAGGCGTGAGAGGTTGGTCTTGGAGGGCCAATGGAGGGGTAGAGGCAGGCCGAAGAAGTATTGGGGAGAGGTGATTAGGAAAGATATAGTGTTGCTCCAGCTTACTGAGGACATGACCATGGATAGGAAGGTGTGGAGGTTGAGAATTGGGTTAGAGGATTAGGTAGTCGAGCTTTGTCTTTGTTTTGTTACAGTAGCTTTAGTTCACCACTTAGTGTTCTTATGTATTTTCGCCTTTTGGACTTCTGTTATTACTTGTAGTTGCCTTCGCTTCGATTATAACTGTACTAGTTAGTGATAGTTGTGTGTTTCCACCTGTTTTCCGATTGGTTTTCATATCATTGGCCCTTCCCTTTATCTTTCCTTAGCCGAGGGTCAACCGGAAATAGCCTCCGTGCATTTTAAAGGTAGGGGTAAGGTCTGCCTACAAACTACCCTCCCCAGACCCCACTTATGGGAATGCTCTGGGTTTGTTATTGTTGTATGTTCTCTGTTACTTTCATATCTATGTTTCCTTACTTAGTTTACCTCTATGTTTCCTCTTTGTCCTGTTACTATAGATGTATGTCCCTACCATGTTTATTACAGTTATATCTATGCTTTATACTTGATTTATTACTGTTATATGGACTTACCTACTTCATGCATTTACTTGTTACGTATTTTTACTTGCCTTTACATGTTACTAGACTTTACATATCACATAACTTTACTAACCACATGCCTTGACTTACTACATGCCTTCACTGACTATATGCCCTTGCTTGCTACATGCTTTCACTTACTACATGATCTCATTTATTAAATGCCTCTAATTGATAACTATTTTTACTTGTCATACTCCTTTACTTATTTCATGTCCTATTCTTCTATGCTTAGTCGAATTGGGTGACTATTAGATTAGTTGTGTGTTTATGCTTTGTGGAAGGCTTGTCATTATATATGGGAGACTAGATCTTGGGTACTGGGTTGTCCATCTTACTTTGTTAGAGTTTGTATTTCCTAGTTGAATTCTGTGTGTTAGTTTTCTTGGTGTTACGTTATGAATTTTTTCGTGCTTGGTTGTTGTTAAATAATTTCATATGAACTGATATATATATATATATATATATATATATATATATATATATATATATATATATATATATATATATTGATTTATAGATCGGATTACACAAAACAATAATATTTATATTTATATATATGAATCGGGTTGCACGCCACAACGATATATACATTGATATATGGACCGGGTTGCACACTGCGATGATAGACATATATTGATATTGGAATCAATTTTCACACTGCAACAGTATTTATTAATGTTGGGATCGGATTGTATGCCGCAACAGTATTTATTAATATTGGAAACGGGTTGCACGCTAAAACGGTATTTGTTAGTGATGTTTAGTTATGACCCTTTCACGTGCTTCATGATTTTTGTTTCCTCCGTAGAAATGGTTCATAAGGTTATGTCATATTTGCTATGTCTGTTAATTTGCTCCTTAGTTCTCCAGTTGATGCTCTTGCTATTACTCATCATATCCCTTGCCTTGTTTTCCTGCTTCTTATCCACATAGATAAATAATAAGTGAGTATCTTTTGGCCTAAAATCTCATTACTATTTCACCGTGGTTAGTCAAGATACTTACTGAGTTCATGGGATCGATTGTACACATATTATACTTATGCACCTTGCGTGCGGATCTGGGAGCTGAGTAGCTGTGGAGGATGATGCCTTGCATTGAAGATGTACCTGCATTTGGCATATAAGCTACTACTTGTTCTTGGTTGTTTAGGATTATACTTCTGTTTAGGTATCGTCAAACAGATGTTGTATTTATTTTTGTACCAGTTTTGCAACTCTGAATCTTAGTGGTTCATGATTAGTACTATCAATCCTTGGGATGTTTTATAGAATTCAGTTATTTTTATTCCTTGTTATTAATGATCTTTCACTTGAGTTACATTATTCTATGTTTGGCTTAACTGGCAACGGGGTTAGGTGTTATCACGACTAGTGAATTTTGGATCGCGACATATATATATATATATATATATATATATATATATAAAAACACACNGCATGTCTATTTAAAAAAGGTTAATTTAACCTGTTATAATTATGACAACAAACAAGCCATTGTAACTATTATATTATATAATTACTATTCTTATAATTACACAGCCATGTAATTATACATGGCTTTCCAAACAAACTCTAAGTGGAAGGGAACTTTTTAATAATTAGTGCAACAACAACTAATAAAGAAAGGATTGTTCATCAATTCTTATTATAGTAGCACCTTTTAACTTCAGACTTAGGACACTCGACAAAGAAGCAAAGAAGAAATGAGAGTCTCTCTGGATCTACGTACATAATACACTGTTTTGTTTCATCGTTCAACAAAATATTCATATGAAGTATAGAAACTTCACAGTTGCCTGCAAATGGTGATTCCATCACCTAACGGGACTTGAGAAATTTGAATGCGAGTATCAGCCGCTAGAAACTTGTTAAATTCAATAACGTAATGCCTGTTTGGTTTTCAAGCTTCCTCAACAGACTCTTCTGGCATAGCAACTGTTCCAAACCAAAGTGTGTTATCATACACTATTATACCGCCAGCCTTCACCAGCTGCAATAGTTTCTCATGGTACTTTTGATAGTTAACTTTGTCCGTGTCAACAAAAGCAAAGTCAAAACTTCCTAGATTGTTATGCTGAAACAAAATAGATAACAGATTATAAGTTTACATAAATTTCAACATAATCCAAAAAATGTTAGGTAATTTCTTTTTATTTCCCTAAGTCTTAGTCAACAGACCTATCCGGTACGGTAACATGTATCCGATAGAATATTAGTAAAGGTGCACATAAGGGGATCGTATACGACCATTATATAACAAAAGAAAAAAGTTAACATGATTCTATTTATGTACTTATATTATTTTTCATGTGCTGGAATTGATTTTTGATGACTAACAAACATGTAACTTTCTATTTATGTACTTATATTATTTTTCATGTGCTGGAATTGATTTTTGATGACTAACAAACATGTAACTTGGATGAGGTCTGGTGAGTCTGAGACCCTGGTTACTACAAGTTGATTCTTATACTGTATCCAGCATCAAATCCTAGTGATTGTAAGATTCACTTTCATGCTAGTTGGGATCGTTTTTCAATATACCAAATCGTCGCAATGGGAATATACACAACATCAAACTGGCTGTGTATATTTTTAGAGAATCTTGGAAGATCTTAATTACTCAATCAAAGGGCAAGTTTATAAGGAAGTAAAGCCCTTATGGGAAACAATAATATATAGAAGATCTATTTTTGTTTTTATTCTCTAGGGATAGAAGATTTTTCTTGAGCTTATCATATGCCTCCAATTTTGTAGGCTCGAGAGGTCGCATCGAGGACAAAAGTTCGATATAGACCAAGCTCGGGTTCGAAGGCAGAATAAGAGGCTCGAAGACCTAAGTGCTTGAGGAACATCGGAGCCAAGTACGACCGACTCCGAGACAGTGCCGTTATGAGTTTGTTACAGAAGGACAAGATTCCCGCCACGTCCCCAAGGTCATGGCGTAAATTCCGGAATTGATTTGTACAAATTAGTACAAATCCGTACTAGGCGGTTATATAGTTGTCTCGATAAGATTCCTTATTGTAAATAGAAATGTACCTTATTTAGGGTTCACCTATTATATAAAGGGGACCTCAATCATTTATAAACATCATCGATCATTGGCAAAGAATATACTCTCTTACTTTTTCGCTCATTGTTCATCAGAACTATCCTTTAGCTTTACTATTCTTGTTTTATTGTTCTTGATCCATCTCGAGGTCACTTTGGCTCGAGGTCGATGCTGCCTAGCAACACTGGTTTGATTTACTCATTTCTTTCATTTACATGCTATACTTCTGGATTATTAATTAGTATTGAACTAAAGCACATATCTTTAAAACCACAAATCAAATTTAATTGTTACTCGTATTTTCGAGGTAAACAGTTTGGCGCCCACCGTGGGGCTAAAGATAAGAGTGTTTATTTTAACAGACGTTTTTTCACACTTGTTCTTGCCAAAGATTCCTTGATTTCAGGATAAAACATGTCAAACTCACAGAATGCGCCCGTACACGATGACGATGGTCTTGGGTTCCTCGGAGAAAATGACAACATAATTTCTCCAGGGGTCGATGCGCCACCGATAAACCTTGGGGAAGTGCCAAATGTGGAACCAATGGATGCTAGTTCACACATTGCTTTGAATGTGGATCTAGGCGCAGACCCGAAGCAAGTGTACACATGGAAGTAATATCTAGTGGCCAAATAACACGGGGTGTAGGAGATGGTGGAATCAGCCTCCATGTAATATTCGAGATGCTGCAAGCTCAACAGATTGTCATCGCTCAACTTCAAAGTCAGAACAAAACTCCAAGTATAGTCGAGCTAGAAAACACTCGACGTACTGAGCCGATGCCAGAGAGATCAAACGGTAACAGCTCGGGAACTGACCCCACAATTATGAGGATGCTCGAGGAACTCACCAAGAGGATCGAGTCCGTGGAAAAGAAGATTGAGGATAATGAAAAAAAGGTTTAGACTTATAACTACCGCGTTGATCAAATACCTGGGGCAACCCCGATCTTAAAAGGATTGGATGCCAAAAAATTCATACAAAAGCCATTTCCCCCAAGCGAGGCTCTGATACCCATCCCCAAGAAGTTTCGTATGCCCGATATACATAAATACAACGAAACAACCGATCCTAACGAATATATTACCTCGTATACTTGCGAGATTAAAGAAAATGACTTGAATGATGATGAGATCGAATCAGTTTTATTGAATTTTTTTGGAGAAACCTTGTCTAAGGGAGCCATGATTTGGTATCACAACTTGCCCCCAAACTCTATCGATTCGTTTTCTATGTTAGTAGCCGCCTTCGTAAAAGCACACGCCGGGGCCATAAAGGCGGCGACAAGGAAATCAGATGTTTTTAAGATAAGGCAGAGGAACGATGAGATGCTAAGAGAGTTCGTATCCTGGTTTTAGATGGAGTGAATGGAATTACCACCAGTCTTAGATGATTGGGCAGTGCAAGCTTTTATGTAGGGTTTGAACGAGCAGAGTTCGATCGCGTCTCGACAATTGAAGCAAAACCTGATCGAGTATCCAGCTGTGATGTGGTCGGACGTACATAATCATTAACAATCAAAGATCAGGGTCGAGGATGACTAGTTGGGAGCCCCCTCGAGTTCAGTTCATCCTA